AATGCTACAGAAATAAAGAAGAATTCATATTTACAATCTGTCTAATTACGGTTAGGTTAGGAAAAAATCAATCAAACGGTTTTGAATTTCAATTTTCACAACCTTCACTATCTAACTATAAAACACTCTTACAACACGGGGATTAATCACTAATATGAACCGTATCAACATGCGCAACCACTGCCTCTCACGTCTCCCACTTTGTCGCAGCGCACAAAGTCTGGAATGAGACAATTCGTGAATAGGGCACTCGTAAGTTATCCAAATATCTAAAACTATAAATTTACTGCAAACTATTACATATATGATACATATTGATATTTCAGATTATAATCAAACGACAATTTTATTTACAGAAACGTCAAATTTACATCTGTGATAAATGGTGCGATTTTCTCTCTGTAATGAAATTAAAATTTTAAACGATCATTTTCAAAGGGGCAGTTGTTTTAATGTGAATATACTATTCATTTGATAACACGTATTAATTTACTGACGATGTTTTTCGGCGCTCTTTTTAAATAGGCCACGAACGTTTTTGTATATCAGATTACTAATTTCGAATATACGTTTCAATTCTGACTGAAAAATGCAAATATTTATTATGTTAATCCTCAATTCATCTTACTTGATGTTAGAACTTCATACTCAGTGACTGCATCACTGCTTACAACACAGTTTATTTTTTTGCTGCTCCAGGCCTCTCGTTTATTAATAATATCTTAGTTTTGGAAGACTAGTTGCATACTAATTCACTCATCAAGATAAAATAACCTTACGAAAGTTGAAACATGTTGAAAGATCTAACACATGTCAACAATAAAACAAATAATCATTAGATAAATATAATTAGACGTAGTCTACATTAGATTATTTTCTTCGTTACAAGTTTTATTCGACCGAAACGTTCAACAGTCAACGAGTCCGTCAAATTTAAACAATCATAAATATAATCCTTTTATAGTGACTTGAAGTTTCTGTATGTACCGACAAACAATTACTAATTTTGTTTGCCGATTCCGTTGGGCATGCGGCGTAACGAAGTATCGTTACGCTAAAAGCTACCGCCGCGCGCAGCAGCGCCAGGGGACGGGGGGGTGGGGGGAGGGGCGTGCTACAATCGCGACGCGGGGGCGGCGAGGCAGGCAGGCAGGCAGTGCAAGCGGACATGATCGCGTGCCGTGCCTCCATCAGGCGGCAAGCGTGCGCTTGTGTGGATCATGAATGGCGAAAAACACGCTATAAAATTAAAACGTACAGCAAGGAATGTTATTACTTCACACTACATAAACCAGCAATTCGGAACTTTTTTACCCAAAAAGGGCACCGGGAGACTGTCGAAGAGCGCAATTAAGGCGGAGCGCTTGTGCCGTCCCGGGCCCCCCTCGGGCGAGCGGCAGGGCTCCGAATTCGAGCCTACAAGCAATTTTCCGTGTTTTAATTGTGTAATATCAGAATAACCGGTCGTCGTAAATTTTCGACCCGCACCGACAGCCACAAACGGTAGAGGATTAGAGGTCGAGTTTTTTCCACGGACATCAGCAACCGGGACTTCCTCAGGAAGAACACGTTTGACTTTCCATATCGAAAGAGAAAATAAGTGTGCCAAACACGTATTAACCGCTTTTCGTGCAAACATTTTCCTCGATCGCCGCGACCGCCTTCGCGCGGAGGGGGCGGAGAGCGAAGCGCGAAGAACGATGAACCCTACCGGTAACTCAGCGTCGTCGCGAACAACTTACGACTGGCGAACATCGCGTTCTTTTGCCGAATCACTGGCCCGTAAAAAGTATACAAAGAATGTAACGCAGTCGTCCTTGAGGATCAAGGACCTGGTTGGAGTGTTCTGGCACGGCCACCGCCGCCGTCGCCACCGCCACGGACGCGGTAAGAACAAATATGCCGACTTCATAGCCCGCGCACGCGGCCGAGTTCGGGAGCCGGCAAACACGCCCACGCGCCGGGTAATGTGCCTGCGGCGCGAGTCGGAGGAGAGGAGTAGAGCGGGGCGGGGAGACAGGGCGGGGAGGGGCGGGGTCGAGCGGGTAGAGGCGAGCGTGCACCAGCTCGAAAGGACCGCGGCGGGCCGGCCCGACCTGCCTGCCTGCCTGCTTCGCCGCGTCCTCCGCCGGACAGCGGAGCGGGGCGGGGGCGGGAAGCAGCGCAGCAGCAGCAGCAGCAGCAGGAGAAGGGCCGCGCGGCCGGCCTGCGACGACGAGAGCGCTCGCCCGTTCCATTTGTTCGCGTCGCTCGAGCGGCGCGCCGCGCGCGGCAGTCGCCGTTCGTTCACCTCCGCCGTCCCGTCCCTATCCCCCCCACCGCCGCCGCCTCGCTGCCACCGCCGTCGTCGTCGCACGATTGTCTCCTGCGCGGCCGCCAATTTGGCGCGTTCCTCTCGTTAGGAAACACATTCCAAGGCGCGGCCGCCCCTCGGGCTGTTCGCCGTGGGACGGGCGCGGGCGGGCGGGCGAGCGGACGGCGAGCAGCGAACGAGCGGGCGGGCGGCGGGATCGGGCGCGGCACCGACAGCGGTTGCACGAAATTATCTGCGTACGGCGCAGCAAAACGTCGACCGAGTAAAACACGCGGCACTGCCAGGCGCGGCCAGCGCCTCTCCCCCCCCCCGCGCTCGCAGCGGCGGCGCGGAGGCCGCGACGGAGACGTGCGGTGGGCGCCCGCGTCCTGCGGTGTCGCCCGCGCCGCACCGGTGCCAGTTTAAAAATAAAGTAAAAATACCGCAACGCGGGCGACGGTGACGGGCGCGGCAGCGCCAGGGGTCGCTATCCAACACGTGGCGCTGGATCTGGACACGGCCCCCCCCGCGAGCGCGCGCCCCTGCGCCCGCCAAACAAGGATCCCGCGCCCTGGCCGCCTTCACTACCACCGCCGCCGCCGCAGCGGGATATTTATGACGAGAAGCTGCGCATCAGCGAAACGAACAAAAGGAGAGACGGCGAAAAAGAGTAGAATGCCTTTCCACCCGCGCAGATACTACGTATATTAGACAAGAATTCGGACGAGGGACACCCGGAGCGGCGGGAAAGGAGGAGTAGAGGTAGCGGCTCGGGCGGCGCGCTGCGCGCGCACGGCTCGGAGCGGCGCGCGCGTGCGGCGCGGCGGCGCCGGGTGCACTGAACTCGGACTGCGCCGCGCCGCCGACCGCCCGCCGCCGCGCGCCGGCCCACGAAGAAAAGGCGCGTGCGCCGACGGCAACCTTGTTGTGCGCCGTGGGCCCGGCGCGCGGCGGCGGCCCGTTCGCCGGTCCTCCGCAGCCGCAGCCGCCTGTCGGCGGGGCCACCGCCCCCCCGGGCGTACGTACCTCTGGCGGCGCGCGGCGCAGCAGCAGCACAGCAACAGCAGCAGCGCGGCGAGACGTCGGCGGGCTGGGAGGCGACGGCTTCGCTGCGGCGGCGACGCCGCAGCCCCGCGCGCGCCATGCCCGACGCCGGTCACCCGGAGGGCGACGCCAGAAAGGAGGAGGAGAAGGCGGCGGCGGCGGCGGTGAGCGGAGGCGCGAGCGCACGCGGGCTCGCCCGTAGTAAGAAGCGCCGACGAATAACCAGAAAAGAAGTTCGACGCCACCGACGGCCCGAAGCGAGTGAAGCGACCGCCACGTGCGCGCGGTGCTCCTCGGCGGATGCGCGCACCCGGTCACGTGGCGCGGGCGCGCCCAATCGCATCCGCGCCGCGGCACCCCGGCCGCGGCCGCGCAGCGTCTTACCCCCTCCGAGGCAGCGGGCGCGCGGCGACTACGCGCGGGCCCGCGGTCGCAGTGGCCGGCGCGTGCCTTTCGAGCAGAATGCGCTTTGCGGCGCGGCCGGCGCGCTGTGCCGGGACATGGGGCGGTCGCCGGCGCGTTGTGCGGGGCCGCGCCGCTGCCGCCGACGCCGCTAGAGGGGAAGACGCCACGGCGCGGCGTGTGGAGGGGGGTCGCCGCCCCCCGGACGGCGGCGGGCCGAGCCGGGCCGGGCAGGGCCGAATCGCTGGCGGCGCCGCCTCTTCGGACGCGACACGGAGCCCGCACCCAAGCGGCGGCGGCGACTTCGCCAACACGCCCGCCGGCCGCCCGGTTGACAATACCGTTCGACTTCTTGCAGCTGCATTGCTAATCCACTTCCTAGACTTCGATTGCTTTGTTTACGTCGTGTTCTCTGTAATGCCACATTCGTGTGGTCACGGTAAAGATGTTTTGAAGCTGCGGAGATACAGAATTGAATACTTACCGTATGTGCGGGAACAGGTTTCGTGCTGTTACTTTACTTCTATTGCCACTCAAATTACGAACGTATCGTTGAATTTCCTTCGCATGATAGGTCAAGCCCATCTACGCGCCATTCCATCCTCCCATCAACTACTTACGCCTCACAGCCTAACTCACAAATCTCCTTAATTACAGAGAACTTACAAAAGGATATGAGTAATGGAGTGAAGGAGGAGATGGAGAAGGGGAGAGTGTCAAGATAAATGAGAGGCAAAGAGCAGGAAAATGTCGAGAATAATTCAAGACGTGGAACACCAATGAGAAAAAACAAAACAAGAGTGAGTAAAACACGCCAGGCAAAAAATGGAGAGATAAAGAAGGAAAACGATATTATCAAGATGAAGGGACGTGGCTAGCTGTAAGCAGGGGGAAAAAAGTTCAGATAACGACGCGTCGAAGCGAGGAAACCGTCAGAGGAGAAAATAAAATAAGAAGATTCATTAACGCATAATAAAACAATGTCTGCTGTATATACAAAAAAAATAAAGCAACCCAGGATGTTGTTCAGACGTAACATTTGTATAATAACACGGCACCAACACATTACACATTGCAGACCATGGAAAGTGAAAACCATGGTTGTTTGAGCCAGCCCAAAATATTGTAGTAGATGAATGCGCGTAGTCCCGTCCATTCGCGCGCGCCAGCCGCCGCGCGGGCGGGCTGGAGGGAGGGCGGGAGCGCGCAGGTGGGGCTAGGTGATGGCTGAGGGCGCGGCTCGCGCCCGGGCGCTGGGTGAGGCAGCGCGGCTCGGCGTGGCAGGCAGGCAGGCAAGCAGGCGGAGGCGGCTCGTGCCCCGTGGGGACACGTGTCCGGCGGTGACCTTGCGGCCGGTGAGCACGTGGGCGCGGCACCCCATTAGCAATCGCGCGCCGCCGCCGCCAACACCGCCGCCCGCGGGCAGCGCCGAGACGGATTACGTAAGCTGGCCTTGCCCGATGGGGGCGTGACTCGGAGGACGGGAGGGAGGGGAGGGGGAGCGGGCGGGCGACGGGTGAAAAATGAACGCGAAGGCGTGGGTACATCAGTGTATTATACATTACACAGCGCGGAGCGGCACAGAGGCGCGGGGAGGCGAGCGAGAGGTGGCGGAGGCGGCGGCGGCGGCGCTGGTGGGCGGGCGTTGACGGCGGCGCCCTCGGTGGGTGCGGGCGGGCGGACGACGCAACACCGGCCGCCGCGTCGAGGTGGGGAACAGCGACGTCTGGGACGTCGGCTGTGGGGGCGCCGCTGCACTGGACTCTTTGGTAGAAGCGCAGACCGCCGGCACGCTCAGCTGGCAACGATCGGGATCTGGATGTTCAGCACCTGCAATATCCACAGAGTTCCTTCCGTGCCACAGAGAATCCACGCGGCTCTCGGTACTATCTGACCATTCTACAACACAGTTCTCCCACGATACTACACTAACAGAAAATGCGAAACACTTTGGCAGGAGTGCTAATCTACACGCTTTACTTGATTGAAGCTTCTTCTGGCTATTATTTTTAATACAATTTTAATACGATTTCACGGAAATAATATGACACCACCATAATACTCTCATGTAACAAAGTGTCCCCATTTCTTTGTTAACTGAAATTTCCTTTTTTATACATCCGTGAAAATTTCTGGGGGGACATAAACACACGTTGTGAAAATATCAACGGAAAACACAACGAATGTTACGAACGCACGAATGTTATCTCACTCAAATGAACCCTCCAGAATAAAGATCACAATTTTATTACACTGCTGTAATATGCCTAAATACAACGCTTGCATTCCGCACACCGCACGAGACGCGGGTCCGCGTCGAGGAGAGTTCTCGAGGCGGCGGGCAAGTGTGACACTTAGGGATCCCCGCGCCTTGCCGCGCCACGCATCTTCGCGCGCGCACACACACACATGACTTGCACGGCGTGCGCGCTCCGCGGAGGAATGACCAGGAAACCGCCGCGCGTGCGAATGGCGCGCGGAAGCTCCCATAAACAGCTGCACAATGGCCGCTCTGAGTCACTTCGATCATTACGCCCCTGACCTTTCCCGGCTTTCCCACGGCCTGCATTGCGCACCTGCCCCCCCTCCCCCCCCCCCGAGCAAGGGGACCACTGCTACTACCAGTTGGCATGAAATGTTGGCGAGTTGTCAGGCAATAACACTAACCCAATACATCTGATAAGGAGAAATCCATGTCCACTGTACCAGAAACCGGTCGTCCTTTCGTGTGCTACTCCAGTTGGTATACACACACAAGCACACACGTGCGTGCCATTTCTTAAATCGTTGGGCCGCCTTGCGACTTCCAAGTGATTACGTCTCCTCACATTGGGCTCCACAATCCATCAATGTTGCGAGGAGAGCGTTCTAGGAAGTATATGGGTATTCAATGCTCAAACGCCATACATAAGAAATCGAGGATGGAATTCGACGAGACTGAGTTGTCGGACATAGCAGAACTGGTTACTGAGCTATGAATGTGTGAGAGTTAATTTTGCGTGAGAGTTAATTTATTTATTTATTTCTATAAGTTTTGTTTTTACGAGTTGCGAGAGCAGGATTAACATATATGGTCGACGATTTCGTGACAGTTTTACATACGTGATTTCGGGATTATTCTACTTAGCATTCCCTTAGGGTTTCACTATTTACCTAATTATCGTTATTAAATACGAAGGTAGCAATGCAAACAAACACTTGAAATTTCAAAAAATAATTCTAAAATCTTCCGAGCGTAATAAACAAAAATAATAACTATTTTATGAATACTAGGTATATAATTCGACCCACATAACGATCAGTTTACAGGAACAGCCAACTTCCCGTTGGGAGATGTGGAAACAGGCACACTAATTCGAAGCACTACAATGTTACTTAATGCTATTATGTGAACGGGATTACATCCATAACTCCCAGACTGCGCGGGTCAACATCTAATGTTCTAATCAAGTACTTAACGATTATACTGACATGTTCGACCATTACAATAGGAAATTGTTTCACAAACCACACTCACGGTTTCTCCTCGTGATCGCCCTAACTAGCACTGACAATGAGTCATGTTTACGTAGACTTCTGATTACAAAATCCCCAAAGAATATGTATCATAAAATATTAAATACCGAGGAATTCTCTTTTGAAATTCAAGAAGCTGGGTTATCGACAAGCAACAAGAAATGTATCCAAAAATCAATTATGTTTTCGTCCTTTATATACGTGCTGCAAACGAGCTATAGCCATTTTTCCCGCCTCTGTCTCAAGAAGCATTAAAACAGACGACTGATTCAATCAATCCGCCACACACGACTTACCTCCCAATCAATCTGTTCTACATCGAAGGCTGTTTTGTCACGGTGTATACCCACACACACACACACCACGATATTCTACTACGGGGGCATTTAAAGGCCATGAGCATCTTATTAATAAGAGAATTAAATATTTAAAAAAGTGAAATTCACAATCGACTTACCAAGAAAATAATACACAACTTAAGATACTTGAAAGTGGCTAACGGCACTATCTTAGGCCGAACGCTTCCAGTTAAAAAAGTTAAAAATCTTTAATGTAGTTTAAGGCCAAATGTACGGTACGCATGCATTTGGTAATTATTAAATACATTTTTATATCCCTCAAAGTTCTTAAAAGTAAAAAAATTGCCGTGTTTCAAGGGATAGGTTCACGCAAACTGAACTCTTCTCTTCCAGACTAATGAGAGTTTCCGCATTTCTTTACGCATTTTCAAATCGAAGAGGAGCCGACTGGAGCAATATATGGCCAGGAAATTGTCTCCGAATCCGTAGAAAATATCAGGTCGTGTTCGTGTTCGTGTTCAAGCCTTCAATTCGAAAATGTTGACGGTGAACACGATATCCGAGCCGATAAGCAAATTACCAGCAAAGCACGTCTGTGGATTCAAACGATACATTTCGATAGTCAGAGGAAAGCAGATTATTAAGATGCAATGACTCATTAAAAAAAGTGATATTGAGGTTCTTACTACTTGATATTCGTCTTTACGATGTAAATTAATACGATGTTAGTAAAGTAAAATTTGTTCAAAGCATCACTTTTCGAGGGAATTGGGCGATTCGAATTACCAGTCCATTATATAAACGAGAAAGATTACACATGAGGCAGAGCTGAAGTTACTTGACAGTTTTCGATGAATTAGTCAAAAATTTTGTTTTATAAGTGAAATTTTATAAATTAATGATTAAAGCTTAAAAAACTAATATTTTTGGTGACTTCTATACAATAAGTATAGGCCGCCAACATGCGCATTCTCCTTATAAACAAATAAAAAAAGTCCGATATAGATTTTACAACCCCTACATGAATTTCCCAACTTGTAGAAATTATTTTGTCTAGACTAGCAATCTATTATTTAAAAAAACTAAATGGCCTCGTATTTCGTGAACTATACAGCCATACATAGGACATAACATGGATGTGCTCTAAAAGACTCACAGCCACGAACATAAATCAACTTTTATGGAATTAAAACAAATTCGTGTTTGTACAGGCATGCGTTTGAAATGTTTCAGTTGAGCACAGCGTACAACTTATACGCACGCGGAATGAGTATACCTGAATTCCAATGTTGCTACGCAATAGCCACTCGCGATAGCGCATCATGCATGTTCACTACAGAGGCCGCTGTCAACCGTCATTTCGAAAGTCACGTTCCCCTTGCACAGAATAAGCAAGCGTCCCCCCCTTCGACGATTACGTTTCATCCCGCTCCCTCGTTTCTCAAGAGACTCCGACCGAAAGGCAGTGACGATTACAAATGGCAAGAAGATGGCCCCCAAGCGGAATTTTTACGGCAGTTTTCATGGGGAAAATATTTATTTAAATATTACTAAGACCATTATTTGAAAGTTCGCATAATGGCGGGTTTGCTAGTATTCGATTGAGTACACGTGAACTAAAATTTGCAAATAATGAAATGAATAAAAACAAGCGCACGCTCTACATTACTGCAATAAACGAAGAAACGTTTTTGGTTAGTTTGAGGCACTATAAAAATACGCAGACATACGAGTTTAATTCGCTTCAAAATTATTTTCTCTGCGAGCAGACGCTCAATTAATGAAATACTAACACCTAAAATAGTGTATCTTCCAAGTTTCACACACTCACAAACACACGCGCGCGCGCTCACACACACGCGCGCTCACACACATACATATATACATATAAAGTGTGCGTGTTCACCGTTGAGCAAATCTGAAGCTACAACTCAGTAAATTATTGAGGTATGTATGTTACAGAAAATGAGAGATGTGCCGTACAATCTGTTATTTGCAAACCAGTACAATATCATAACACATCTCCTCAATGCACAGATCGTCACTGCCGCACTTGTCAGTAGTACCAAAACTCCGCAGCCCAGCTCTAGGAATGCATACACTCTCTGGGGCACAGGGGTGGGAAATAATAAAATTGAGTCTGACGAGGGAGTTACAACACGGTCAAATTCAACGAACACCATTACATATGCTAAAGGGAATGGTTGACCTCTTGCCTCCTAACTTCCAAATTAAAATTGCGCGAACCATTCAATGAAGGACTAATAGAAACTGAAGAACGTGAGTTTAATGTATGTGCGGGCGTGATACGTGGTACTCGTACACAGAGTGCAGCACGGGAGGGCTTTATTCATTACATCAGAGGAATGCAACTTCGCAAGAATATCGAATAGACTAATGCAACTTTACAGGAATGTCTAATACTCTAAGGACTTAACAGTATTTCCCGATGTGGTAAATATTTTGTAAAATATAGAAAACAAGAATTATAAACGTTCGTGTTCGTGGGCGGGTTCGGTTCGTGGGCGGGTTCGTGGGCGGGTTCGTGGGCGGGTTCGTGGACGGGTTCGTGGGCGGGTTCGTGTGCGAGTGCTGGTTGGGGTTTGAGTGCGGGTTCGGGTGCAGTGCAGATTCGGGTTCGAGTTCGGATTCGGGTGCGGGTGCGGGCGCGGGCGAAGGCGCAGCCACTCACCCGGTCGGAGCGCACGAAGACGGCGCGCGCGGCGTCCGCGTTGAGCTGCATGGGCACGAACACGTCCCAGGCGTAGCCACGCCGCGAGCTCTCCACCACCAGGCGGTCGTCGCCCGCGCGGAAGCACACCTCGCCGGCGTTCGTCTGCGGGCACACCTCGCTTTGCATTCTCCATCGCAACACTTGCAACACAAATGCTCCCAAGGAAACCAACAGTTTCGGCATTCCATCAATCAGACAATAACTTATACTGGCTGAAAAAGACACAGTGGTTTCCAGAGACCACGAACATATGTACATGTTAGGGGCACTTAACAGCGTACATTACAAAATGTATCATGAAACGGACGCATTTGTATATGAATCAATCTCAAATCCCTCAAATAAATTAGAGAGAGAGCTCGCATTACCATCCAATAAACTTCACCAAACTCCGGTATAGTTTCTGGAAGTAAAATCTGCTGAGGAGCTGCAGCTGCAGCAGCAATCACATTGATATGACTAAGATAACCAAGAAAGAGCAAGATAAATTATTCTAAATAGATACTCTTTCTCAAAAAATTGTACAGACGAGAGGCAGGAACTTCTAGTCTTCCTGTGAACCTGGTTAGGAAAGTGAGAGAGAGAGCGAGAGAGAGAAGAGCGAGCGAGAGAGCGAGAGAGAGAGAGCGAGAGAGAGAGCGAGAGAGAGCGAGAGCGAGAGAGAGCGAGAGAGAGCGAGAGAGGGAGCGAGCGAGAGAGCGAGCGAGAGAGCGAGCGAGAGAGCGAGAGAGAGAGCGAGAGAGAGAGCGAGAGAGAAGAGCGAGAGAGAAGAGCGAGAGAGAGCGAGAGAGAGAGCGAGAGAGAGAGAGCGAGATAGAGAGCGAGAGCGAGAGCGAGAGAGAAAGAGCGAGAGCGAGAGAGAAAGAGCGAGAGCGAGAGAGAGCGAGAGCGAGAGCAAGAGAGAGCGAGAGCGAGAGGGAGAGAGCGAGAGGGAGAGAGCGAGAGAGAGAGAGCGAGAGAGAGAGCGAGAGAGAGAGCGAGAGAGAGAGCGAGAGAGAGAGATAGAGCGATTAATCGTGCTGAAAGGGAGATTAAACCCCACAGTACCATCCACTTAAATTTAAGCTGTTCAGATTGGCATGACCCAGTACAATTTCATATCACTTATATATATTATTATATATATATATATATATATTATAATATATAATATTATATATATATATATATATTATTTCAGTATCATTTGGAAGGATTCACAATGTGCCAGGCTTAGGGTCGTTAGGAGCTCAATCCGGCTGAAGGCGAGAGGGGGCCGCGGCGCTACTCACGACGTCGGCGAGGGTGAGCTCGGCGATGAAGACGGAGCTGCCGTCGGCCGCCGGCCGCCGCACCATGCGCCAGCGCTCCGGGGCCCGCCCACCGCCCGCGGGCGACGGCGACGGGGAAGGCTCCGCAGCGGCAGGGGAGCTGGGAGACGCTTGCGCCCGCGCGGGCGGCCGGCCCTTCGGCGCCGCGCCCGCGCCTGACGACGTCGAGGCGGAGGACGTCGACGGAGCCGAAGACGTCGATGGCGACGAAGTCGACGCCGTCGAGCCCAGTTCCTGGGAAGCAGAGATTACATGCCGGCGCGCCACAGAAGTGTCACATCTCAAGTGTTAAGTCAAGAAATGAAATGCCGTAAAGATAGTTCACAAGCGTATAGAATAAAACACTGGCTATATTGGCGAAATAAACAGCTTCACTCAGATTTTAAAGAAAACAACATTATGTTGCAAAATTACAATTTTGTGATGTAACACTTCTTGTCGCCACTAATGTCTGTGACAACCGAAATGTCAAGTGTGTACATGTACATGAACAAGTGGACTTGCAGAATGCATTTCTCACAAGTTCATATACGGTTTCGGTTTTCACGAAAATTTTTCGGTCTCAATGAGAAATGGTTTACCAAAATCACGTCGAAATGGATTATCGCACATACGATACACATACACGATAACAGCAAATAATTGCTGCTAGAACTGTCTTTAACAAATAAAACAAAGTAAAGTAATTCAGTGTTTGTGACCTCCAGACTTTCGTCGTGAATTATCACACTTTCCTCCTGCTCGGAAATTACGTATTCAGGATCAAGGAAGACAGTATGTATGCAAAGTACAAGCATGTGCTTGCTTGTATTTCAAAGAGTCCATGCGTAACACAATCGAAATCTGGAAAACATGCATTACAAGTCATTGTCTTAACGCACTTCCTGCACCTCGCAGAGAAATAAAAACCGGTGTGTCACGGTCGCAAAATTTGAAACACGAAATCTCCGCCCACCCGGACTTCAAGGGAATACTTTGGAATGTGATACAATTAAATGTGTAGCACTCGTTTTCAATAGAGTTAAATTACAATGTTTGAGAATCTGTGTTCTGGAGCGTCAACTACTTTCATCATTATTCCGCAAGGGTATTGTATTTGCAATACCGGAAGGAGGCGGTGTTCCTCTCCTTCGGAATGAAAGATCTGACGCCGACCTATGTCTCGGCAAAGAGATTTCTCCTCTCGGAACTTCTCTTAGCAGGGCACCACCACAGCTCTGAAGGGCTCTCGAGCTCCCGATTGGTCTTCGTCATGAGCGTTTGTGCACTGCATGTAAGCTCGCGGAACGTGTGTGCATGTGTATAGAAAGAGGTGGGAACAAAATGATGACGGGAAGATCAGTCCGTGGTCTGTTTGTTAGGGTGCCTTTCCATCATTCCCATGGAATTGATAGACGAAACCATGAAAACTACCTATTGTAGCAGCAGCCAGAATTCTCCTTCTGACAGAGCCTGAATTCAGTCTAAACTATCACTTCAGCTAGTTGGATAATCTGCCCTGTCGGGGTTCGAACCCTAAAACGTCCTGGTGAAAGATGCTGTAGAGGCAACAATGCTGGATTTTGTGAGCGCTACCCACACCGTCAGTGAATAAGCAGTAAGTCTGTCCACGAGCGTCTTGTGAAAAACATGTTTCTTTTCTTTCAGTTTGGGAAATTGCATTTAACGGAGCAACATACATTTGTATGCATTGCATTTGCCCCTGACTTTAGGCAACCGCATATGCACAAGTGTTCGGCACCCACATGAAATTTCGCCTGCTTCAGAAGGTGACCTGCCGCACATCAGTGCACATGAAGATGCCTAAAATCATGAACAAATGCTATATGAAGAAATTCATACAACATTGTATGTGCAATTTCTTGCTAAATGTTCATTGGCAAAAACTGATCGTTTTCAACCGTTTAGATTCGATTCCGAAGTCGATACAGGAATCGAATTGCAACAAAAAAATTCGATTTCTAAAGGAATTGTAATCAAATTAGTACGATTTGCTTTTACAACGTATCCAAATACAGTACCATTAGTCCTAGAACCTAATATTTAAAATAGTTTTTCTAAATGTGTCTCCAGGTACTAAATTTACGATGATGAAACCGTGGAAGAATCTCTAAAACCCAAGTGCCTCTGTGTTTAAAATATTTATATGAACAAATTGTGAAATTTTGAAAAACAGTTACTTGTGCAATAAAACTCTCACGAAATACAGAGTGTGCATTACTCTTTGAATTAACCTGAGACTTGATCTAAGGTTATTTTTTAATGATTTCGAAATTTAAACCTTAAAATGTGAAAACACAATAAAATTATTTCATTAGTTAACAGTGCATACTTAGAAAAACCCACAAAGCCATTCATTTGATTCGATTCCTAAATTTTGGAAACGATTCCAGCAAGAATCAAAATATTCCAGAAGAACCAAATGACAAGAACCGACTCCGGAAACGAATCGGCAAAACTTGCCCGCTTGCTGGACCCACCTGGATGAGCGGCAACTTGGGCCCGCGCTGCTCGATGCGGTGGCGCTGCAGCCGGCCCATGGCCTTGCGGTTCTTCAGCACGGTGTACTGGTCGGCGTCCAGCTCCAGCTTGAATTTGTCCGCCACCGACTCGATGGCCACTTGCACCAGGAAGCGCATGTGCACGCGGCTGTTCTGCGCGCGCTCGAAGAAGCTCGTGCTCACCGCCACGTCGTACGCGCTGCACGGCTCGCCGCCTGCGGGACACGCGACGCGTCAGCCGCGCGCGAGGGCCTCGGACGGGCTGGCATCGGCAAGGGAGTAGGGAAGGGAGCGCGCTACATGGGGACGGGGGATGCAGATTCCGGTCCAGCGTTGGCATGGCCGTTGTCACTCTTGCGACCTTTCTTATTGTATCATCATTGCCGGTCGGCCCAGATGGTGCGTGCGCAGACTCTACGTGATGGGGCGATACATCTGAGTCAGGCCTCCTCGATTCCTCGGTTATGTTTGAGGCAAGGAAAACGTGTTTAGTACTTACGTATCTATAACCCGGATTCCCGACGAGGTAGGTGTATACCTCCTGCGAGTCGATAAAATTTTGAAGCGGGTCGATATTGATAAAGGGGTCAATGGCCGAATATACACCGGCGCCTTGTTGGTATAAAGAAGATCCCATTGAATACAAAAATATTAACTTAATTAACTATGTACAGATATAGAGCAAAAAAACGTATAATAATAAATTATAAATTTGCTCCTGTTTGTGCGTATCCGTCTTTCATCATCAGGAATTTTGGGATTGATTTTAAGAGGTTTGGAAAATTCGAGAAATTATAACTGTGTTGACAATATTCTACGGCGCAAGAAAGTACTCTCTGCAATTCGCACTGTAGATATGTAATGACCAGTTCTTAATTTAACACTTAACAATTCGTAACCATTGCATTTCAATGGAGATAAACTCAAACTCAAAATGCGAAAAAAGTCTTTGACTATAAACACTGAGATATTTACGAGAATATTGGAGTAAAATTATGTTATCTTTTATTGCTTTATGAACAATTATTTATCATGTTAATGAACACCATATATTATGAAGAAAACATAAGGGTGTCGATAAAGCTAACTTTCTTTAAAAAGGTGTTGATGAAAAAAAAAAGTTGGGAATCCCTGTCTATACCCTAATCTTCTCCTGATTCCTTGCCCCGCCCACTAACTGTATGGAGTGATCAGTAGATTCAATTTACACGCTCCCTTTGGACGAACGCGCATACGCGCAGAGTGCTTTCTGATGTTCCACAAACATTGCACACGTACGAGTTCGATGAAACTCCGAAATCGTTCATCGAGAGGAAGCAGAGAAAATGCAGCTTGTATCTCCCAGACTTTTAAATAACAAAAAGGAATTGTTCGAATAACAAGCAAATCCCACACACGTGATTCTTGTAAGCCTCTCTTTATTAATCTAGTTGTCTTAACTTTACCTTGCCTCTTCATATATGAATCAGTGTTTTTTGTCAAAAATGACTTACGGGCGGGAATGTATTTTCAGCAAGCGCAGTTGTCTGTAAGTACAACACTCGACGTAGTAATCATAATCATCACGTGACAGTATCAACAACTCACTACACACAATTCACATACAATACATCTACATTATTTTACAACACCTTGCCAGATGACATTAAACGATGAAATTCGATACAAAAGTTAAAGTCCCAAGTAAAATATTTCCTGCTGCACAACTGTTTCTATACAATTAGATACTATACCAAGCATCCAAAAGGAAAGTATTATTAATTTTAACTACGCCATTTAGTGTATTATTTACCGCTTGGATTGTATAATTCTAAAGAACCTTTAACAAGCACTGTACTTCAGCTTCTCGGTCAATGACCGATCAGATCTTCGTCCAGTTTCCCCGATCCTTGAGCAAATGCTGAGATGGCCCCTTGTTTTGCTCGTGGACATAAATGTAACTTCAAATTAACTTCTCCCCATAGCACGTCACACACAGTTTTTGACGTAAATAAAGAAATAAATAAAGCGAGTACCTCATGCTCATGAGTACGCGAACCAGGAACTGGCTCCCTAAACCTTAAGGCACTGAGATGGCGCCACGAGCTGTCTCGGTCAAAAATGTAAAGACGCAGACCAGAGATGCGCCTCGGGGCTACCTCTCGGAGTCCTGTTTGGGCCGGATACTGGGCGGGGCAAGGAATTAGGGGAGGATTAGGGTATAGACCAGGGATCCCCAACACGAACAGGACTCCGAGGGTGTTCTTCGAATGCGAAAAGTTTTCTCCAAAGAGCTGTTGTGAGCGCGATAGACTTCGCTTTCATCTCAGAGGTCGGGAGATGACAGTCGAGCAAAATCGGAATATAACGCGACCGAAAAGAGAAGGAATCCCAGGCAAAACAGTCACACACTAATTATGTCTATTTACGGTGGGTTTTGCGAGGCATTTCAGCGCGTACTTCATTTTTTCATACTAAGTTTCATTCGCTGCGAAGAACAAGGCATTAACGGATACACGGATCACAACGTGGCCCCGTTTCCTGGCAATATAATCGCGCGGGCGTTTTTGCGATCCCCGCCTACGGGGCGCCACGTCGCGCTACACTAGATTTCGGAGAATCGCCTTCGCATTTTAACTGCCTAAGGCTATTTGCTTTTTCGAAGCTTCCAGAACATTTCAAACGCGCTCATTTAATTTTTCGATTAGTTTCCAACTATTCACAAGCCAAAACCCTTTCTTCGCCCAGCAGTAAGATTTTCATAGGCTAACAAGTCTCCGTGGTTCACGGTTGGACCGCTGCTCAGTAATAACGTCTTGCATTATGCAATTCGTAAGTCCTGTTCAAGGCGAATTCGACGGAGCGCGATATTGTTCGCATTGTTCTCCAACCGAGTGCAACGAGTGATAAACTGAGAACTGTACAGTACGACTTGGTGCCGAACATCGCAACCTCGGTGTGCGTGTTCGATTCAGCTTGCGTCTCGCAAGAGGTTGTGTGTGATGTCCACAGTGTTGATCAGTGATGTATTTCCTATTCACCTGTCTGTGTCCAGGCACGTTCTGCCAGGACTAGCAGTTCGACGATCGCTCTTAAAAATATCGTGAAGGACTATGTTGCAGGAGCCGTGATGCATCTATTGGGAATAAACGTTCTTCCAACCTAATCTCATATGTGTGTGTGTCTTGTACTAAGGATTTCACAACCTACACTCCATCGTAACCGCTCTACTGATCTTAAGGCCCTTTACACGGTACAGTTCCGACAGCACAATTTCTACATGAAAACGTCTGAACATATTCTTTTTTTACATCCAGAACGCGTGCAGTTTGATAATAGCGCATCTTGCGACAGAATCGTTCACTAAAGTATAAGAAGAAATCGTCATCTTCATCAATTTCGTAGTTAGTTTAGGAGCGATTCGGAAGACACTATATTGGCGTGGTGGATTCGAGTTATCGGATTTTCTGATGATTTTATTAAACAGCCTGTTGCAAATGTAACATTATTTAATCTCACTTCTGCAGCCAAAGCTTCCTCCTTTCGAAGCGATTTTTCTGCGCACCCACTAAAGCTTTCGCAGCCACAACCATGCTTGGAGCGATCAACGAGCAACCTTTCTATTTTTTCTCCCCATGTGTCATTAATACTTTAAAAAATATTAATAAAGTAGCTCAGAACACACGTACACGAATGTCGCGAATGAATGTACTTGGACGGCGCAATTCGGCAATTCATTGTGTGCCGACAGAGCCCCTGGTCGCTTCTCGTGACAAATCGTTCAGAAAACGTGCAGACGGCGTAAACGCGACTTTTAGCTTTTAATTTTTTAGATTGGGATCTTGTTCTATAGAGGTTTTGAATGAGGTTCCACACGAAAACTGTGCCATAAAAAAAAAAAAAAAAAAGCGTTAGGGTTTCAGTTACATGCGCGAAATTGCTTCTCTATATAGCCCACTTCTTAGACATTCAAAGCTGAACCAGTGGCATGTTTTTGTCAGGAGAAAAGTGCGAATCAAACGAGAAGGCAGTAGCACCAAAAGGGAACATTTTAGAAGATATTACGCTACGAATTTTATTCCATATGAAAGATTTACAACACCAGAAAATTGGTTGAATATCTCACAACAAGCATTCTTGAGGAAAATTGATGTATAATACAATTACTCTAAAAACATTAAAGCGCTGTAATTAATCACAACTTACCGAAAACTTACGAGCGAGAAAGAACCCAACGCTTGAGGAAATGTACTACTTGCCCATAAGTGTTAATTTGGGTTTCTACTGAGATCCGTGCGGGCAATTACGCAGTGAAAAGACATTGGAATCTGTTTCTCCTGAGGATTTTCACTTTGATTTCTGCAATGCACGGTGACAGAGTGCACACTTTATTTTTGTGTACGTTTTGGAAAGACTCCGAACTGAATATTCTTTAGACGCCGTATTGTATCACTCATCCCATGATATTTTTTTTCTATTGTTAACGTGCCTCACCTTACGCTACGGCACTGGTTTAGATACCTTGAAACCGTGGACCTGTGCAACCAAAGTTATGAGATTACAGCCATTCTAAAGACTCTACCCTGTTCACCATTCCTGCTCCGAAGAAGCCCACGATAAGATCTGAACGTGGACAAACCATCCATTAACGCAACAGCTGAAAGCAATCACACACTTAGGTACAATTGTCGAAACTTCAGCGATGTTGGTTCAACTGGGACTGGGGTGATGTGAGTGAGCAAGGACAAGGATCGAAAGTGAAGAAACGTTTTCAGTAGAGTTCGTTTATTTTCCATCGTGGAAGTGGGTGGCATTTATATTACCAGGTTTAGTGAACGAGGAGGCAACGAGAGTGGACAATATTTTAGCAGAATGCGTCTATTCCCATTTCTGAAGACATTTTGACTGAAATTCCTGGCGGCGAGTGAAAGTGGAGGTGAAAGAATGAGTCACGAAAAGTCGAAGTACAAATCGTCTAAGTTGCTCCGTCAAAGATGATTCTACTAACAAAGCCACACACATTATGGGATATTAGAAATTTATGGAACACGAAGTGACAATTCAAAAATAAAACATTCCACATCTGCGTAAGTTTTACTATGTTTTAGGAGTACCGGCGTGACTTTTTTGTATTTCTTCGTTGGTAGACCAAGGCTCAACCGTCCCAAGAGCTGCTTGCAGAAGCCAAGGCACGTGTGTCTGCTCTCTTGACCGGATTTCGACACCTAGCAGGATC